TGTGCTCAGTGTTTAAGGGTCACGTGGTAACTGTGGTCATTATTTCAGGGTCACGTGGTAGCAGTGTTGTCAGCATTTGAGGGTCATGTGGTAGCTGTGTGGTCAACGTTTGAGGGTCACATGGTAGCAGTGTGGTCAGTGTTTGATGGTCCCATGGTAAGTGTGGTCATTGTTTCAGGGTCGCATGGTAGCTGTGTGGTCAGCGTTTGAGGGTCATGTGGTAGCAGTGTTAGCATTTGAAGGTCACGTAGCAGTGTGGTCAGCATTTGAGGCTCACGTGGTGACTATGTGCTCAGTGTTTGAGGGTCACGTGGTAGCAGTGTTGTCAGCATTTGAGGGTCACGTGGTACCAGTGTTGTCAGCATTTGAGGGTCATGTGGTAGCTGTGCGGTCAATGTTTGAGGGTCATGTGGTGGCTGTGTGGTCAGTGTTCGAGGCCCCACCACGCTGTTTTCCGTAACAGCTGCAACCATCACATTTCATCTCGTGGGAAAGCTGTACGAGTCATGGCTGGCCTAGAGGAACACTTGATTTTTTTAAGTGCATTTGGATTTGACGGTCTGGCTGAGTGTGTTTCCTTGTTCTGATTGGTGATTCTGATGGCTTTTCACAAGAGCTTCTTCCGAGGATGCCAGTTTTCTCACTTGCTCCTGTCTTTTCCTCACTGTTGCGCACGGGCAAGACCCCCACAACTGTGCTGAGCAGCGACGGTGGCAGCAAGCCCCCTGCCTTCGTACCTCATCATGATGGAGGTGCATCCGGGTTTCCCCTGGAGTCATGGGCTTTTTGTCCCTTACTCTGTTTTTATTAGTGGCAGACAGTGAGCAGGTGTGGCCTGTGATGTTTCAGTGGGGGTTGGCTGAGGCTGGCTGGCCGTTGCCTGCCGTCCTTCTGTCCTCCTTGCCCACCCCACTCACTCACTCCACCGACCAGCCTCCCTTTAGCAGGTTAGAGGTTTGAGTCCACCCAGAAGAAAGGCCGGGCCGTGGGCTTCGCACAAGCCAACCGTTGGAAACCCAGCGGGCGCAGTTCTGTGTGACACAGCGGTCACCAGGGGTCAGAATCAGCCCAAGGTGACTAGCTACTCACTGGGTGGGCGTGATTTTAACTTGCATTTCATTAGAACCTAAGCTTTGAAGAACGTCAGGTTATTTCAGGTAGTAACCAGCATGTGTTTCTCTCTTGCAGAAGCCAAAGATGTTGACCAGAAAGATTAAACTCTGGGACATAAACGCCCACATCACCTGCCGCCTGTGCAGCGGATATCTCATCGATGCGACCACAGTCACCGAGTGCTTGCACACCTGTATGTGCGCAGGTTACCAGACAGTCTCACCAGGGGCTCATGGCTCCTGCTTTGGACGGTTCCTAGCCGTGTGCTAGTTGCTGTTTGGATTTATTTTTTTAAACCCAAAGTGTGCAGCTCAAGCCAGCGGGGTCCCTCCAAATGTGTTAAAAACTCACTGCTATTGAGTTGGTTCCCACTCAGCAACTGTGCAGGACAGAGTAGAACTGCCCCACAGGGTTTCTAAGGTGAATGCCTTAAACAGGTGGTTAATTCCTCCAGTGTTTTAAGCAGCATTTAAAATGTAGGCTCTGCCCTGGTGGCAGTGATTGAGCAATTGGCTGCTAACCAGAAGGTCGGCAGTTCGAGCCCAGTGGCTGCTCACAGGAGAACGATCTGGCAGGCTGTTTCTGTAAAGAGTTCAGGCTCGGGGCTGCCGCCTGAGGCAGCTCTACTCGGTCTGGGAGGGTCACTGTGAGTTGGAATTGATTTGGTGGCAGTGGGTTTGGGTTTTTTGGTTTGACCTTTTGCTGGGAGCCCTGGTGGTGCAGTGGTTAAGGGTTTGGCTGCTAACCGAAAGGTCGGCAGTTCAGACCCACACAGCAGCTCTGCAGAAGGGCCTGGCTGTCTGCTTCCCTGAAGGTGGTGGCCCCAGGAAGCCCACGGGACCGTTCTGCATTGTCCTGCAGGGTCTCTGTAAGTCAGCATCGGCTGAGTGGTGGTGGGTTTTTGTGTCTTCTTTCCGGGCAGCAGCCGTGCTCCCCCCAGCCCCTAGCCTCCCCCCAGCCCCCAGGCTGGCTGCTGGTGGTTAGAAGGCTCAGGGCTGCCGCTGACCCCACTTGTCTTCTCTCTCAAGTATCCCCCACTGAAAAGGCCTGGTACTGTTGGCCTTGACTTTGAGCAGCCGGTCCAGTGAGTACCCCCCACTGAAAAGGCCTGGTACTGTTGGCCTTGACCTTGAGCAGCCTGTCCAGTGAGTACCCCTCACTGAAAAGGCCTGGTACTGTTGACCTTGACCTTGAGCAGCCCGTCCAGTGAGTGCAGGGAGCATACACTTCAGCGAGGTCTTTAGAGTACATGCATACCTCAGAGACGCTGCGGTTTCATTCCAGATCACTGCAAGAAAGCAATTACCAAGAGAAAGTGATCACACACTTGTTTTGGTTTCCCAGTACCTACAAAAGTTGTATTGACACTCGACTATGGTCTGTGAAGTGTGCAATAGCATGATGAAAAAGTTTGAAATTCTGTGAAAATGATGTAATGTGACTCAGGGACACAAAGTGAGCACACACTGTTGGAAAAAGGTGCTGGTATACTTACTCAGCACAGGACTCCTCAGACCTTCCAGTGGTACCAGACACAGCCTCTGCAAAGCACAGTGAGGGGTGGTGCAGTCTGCATGTGTGACCACCGGCTGTGCAACGTGCACTTGTGCAACGTGCGTGTGTGAAGTGTGCATGTGACCAGCTCCTGTGCAACGTGCGCCTGTGACGTGAGCATGACCAGCACTTGTGTGATGTGTGCGTGTGACCAGAGGCTGTGTGACATGCGCCTGTGCAATGTGCGCCTGTGCGATGTGCACGTGACCAGCGCCTGTGTGACGTATGCATGTGACTAGAGGCTGTATGATGTGTGCGTTTGTGATATGCACATGTGACCAATGCCTGTGCGATGTGTGCCTGTGCGATGTGCGTGTGACCAGCGCATGTGCGATGTGCATGTGACCAGCGCCTGTGTGACGTGTGCCTGTGTGATGTGCGTGTGACAAGCGCCTGTGTGACATGTGCCCGTGTGATGAGCAGTGACACACTGCTGTTTCTTGATCACATTTTTTTAGCTTTAGGAAACCATATTGACCAATCTGATGGAATTTTGAAAGCTAATTATAATTTTAGATTTTGGTGGCATCATTTTATGCTGTATTGTTTTCATCGAGTCTGATGTGGTTTTATTTTAGGGAGATCCATCAGGTGAGCTTCACTGTAACACTTTTAAAGTAGCCCACATGGCTCACTCAGATGTGAATTGGCAAGCGCTTTCCAGTTAGCTCCCAGCTCTAGATGTCTCTCGTTGACAGTCATCTCGCTCTCGCCTCGCTTTTCTTCCCATTTAACTCATAAAGGAGCCCAGGGGCAGCACACACCGTTAATCACTTGACTACTAGCCGAGAGGGTGGTGGTTCGAAGCTACCTGTAGGCCCCTCAGAAGACAGGCCTTGTGACCTGGTCCCACAGGGTCACAGCCTTGCAAACCCCGTGGAGTGGTTCTGGTCCCGCAGGGTCACAGCCTTGCAAACCCTGTGGAGTGGTTCTATTGTACACATACGGGGCCATCATGAATTAGAATCAACTGGATGACAGCTGAAACTTCATTCTTTTGCCCCAAATCTGTGGAGTCGGGTGTTTAATTGACATGTGAAAACTCTCCCATTGTTGACTGAGATCTGAAGGGCAGGGTGTTCTGATAGGCCAGGAGTCACGGTGAAGCACGTGTGTGCAAAGGGACCTTCTGGTGTCTCTAGAAACGTCTGTTTCAGCCACCTTCTAGACTGTGCGCGGGCTTGTGAATTCTGGGTTTTCCTTTGCTAACATGAATGTGCTTTTGAAATCAGTCTGTAGGAGCTGCCTGGTCAAGTATTTGGAAGAAAACAACACTTGCCCGACGTGTAGAATCGTCATCCACCAGAGCCACCCGCTGCAGTACATTGGGTAAGTGCTCTGCAAGGACCGGTGGCCCTTTGGTCACAGGGCGGGAACACTGTGTGTATGTGTGTGGAAACTTTCTGAAACAGCCACAGGCTGTGTCCAAGTTCTCAGTGGTCGGTTCAGCTGGCTCTGAGGATGCTATGGCGGCTCGTACAGGGTCGGAGCCATGTCCTGCTCTGCCCACCAGGACACCTGTCTGTCAGCCCTGGACGCCTGATCTCGGGCATGAATCCCCAGCCGCTGACTCTAATGAAGTACTGTGAGAAGCCATGAGACCATGACGGAATTTCACTAAGTTTTCAGCTAAATTAGCTGAAGTTTGATGGAAGGCCAGCCCTTGGGTCTGCCTCCTGCTGGGAGCTCAGTCCCCACTCTGGATGCCGGGAGCTTAGCGTCCCCGTCTGCCCCCTGCTGGGGAGACAGCAGCCCCACAGCCATGCCTCCTGCTGGGAGCTCAGTCCGCACTCTGGACCCGCCTGCTGGGCGCTCAGCGGTCCTGCATGGGCTCCTGCTTCCTGCCTCCGTGCGTCTCAGGGAGACAGCACAGGCCCTGCCACTTCTCAGACTTCAGCCCGGCCCTATCCCTGCTGTGTCTGTCGGGCTGCTCCTGGATGTGCTGGGCCCAGTGCAGCCCCTTTCGAGTGTAGTGGTTTGGGATTCATGGGGCCTCTGGTTTAAAAGGGGTTTTTTAAATGCCTGTTTTCAGATTATATACCCTGGTGGTATAGTGGTTAGGCACGCGGCTCCTGAGGTCAGTAGTTCAAATCCACCAGCCACTCTGAGGGAGAGAGATGAGACAGACTGCGTCTGTAAAGATTCACAGCCTTGGAAGCCCTATGGGGCAGTTCTCTGTCCTCTGGGGGCACTGTGAGTCAGAATTGACACAATGACTGTGGACTTTGGGTTTGGCTTTCAGATTTGGGGTAACCCCTGACTGTGTGGGAGCAGCAGAGGGGCAGTTTTGAGGGAGCAGGCTAATGTGCTTTGTCCACATTTGAAACCAGGGAGTGTAAACCCGCAGACACAGAGTGAAGCCGTGTGTGGTTGAAGTGGCTCTCGGGTTCAGAGCGGGGGGCCCTGCTGGGTTCTGAGCCCTGCCCCTGCAGGCCCCAGGAGATCCTCTGGGGATCACGCCTCGTAGGCCGTCATCAGTTCAGTGTGCTCCCGCCACTTCCTGTCATTGTGGCTACACGGTGTGTGTTCACTGTGACTGCATCCTTGGGCTCAGCTTTGTCCAGCTGTGTCCACGTGACTGTCGTAGCTGTGGTCACAGCCTCCTCCCAGGGAAGGGCCGCCGTCTGCCCTGCACTCTGCCAATATGGTGGCCATGTAGTGGTGTCTCATACCATTGCCTGAGTGCCACTGAGCTCGTCTGAGCATCTTCTCCAAACATTAACTGGCTCTTTGGGCTTCCGGAGCCCTAGTGGCTCAGTGTTTAAGCACTCAGCTGCTAACTGAAAGGTTGGCTGTCCAAACCCACCAGGCACTTACAGAAAGATGTGGCAGTCAGCTTCTGTAAAGATTACAGCCTTGGAAAACCCTGTGGGACTGTTTTACTCTGTCCTCTAGGGTCTCTGTGAATGGAATTGACTCCAGGGCACTGGGTGTGGTTTGGCCTTTGCTTCTGTGAAGACTGACAGCCTTGGAGACCCTGTGGGGCAGTTCCACTCTGTCCTCTGGGACGCTGTGGGTCAGAATGGACTCCAGGGCAGTGGGTGTGGTTTGGCCTTTGCTTCTGTGAATATTGACAGCCTGGGGGACCCTGTGGGCAGGTCCACTCTGTCCTCTGGGGGCGCTGTGGGTCAGAATGGACGCCATGCAGTGGGTGTGGTTTGGGCTTTGCTTCCCTGAAGACTGACAGCCTTGGAGACCCTGTGGGCAGTTCCACTCTGTCCTCTAGGGGCGCTGTGGGTCGGAATGGACTCCACGACAGTG